GTGGCCAGCGTGACATCGCTGCTCTGGCGAGCCAGAGCCGCACACGGAAACGCCGTTTACCTTCCCGCTAGTAAGCGGTCCCTATTTATCTACTTGCACCCGAGAGTGCTTTCGAACTGCTAGGTTGGCAGGCGCTGGGACCGAGCAACAGGAGCGCACCCCGCCGCGGGGATTCGAACCGCCGACCTTTCGATCGGCAAGCCCTAGGCGCTGAGGCTTTTACCCACAGCGCCACCCGCGTCCCTCCCTGCCACTTGCATAGAGCTATGCAATTCTCTGCATAAAGTTTCTAGTTCTGTTTGAGAATTAAAAAAGTTAAGAGACATGAAAACCATGTTTGTTCTTGCAGCACGTGGGCCCTGTTCATGCTCAGAAACAGATCTATTTGTTCTCCACTAAACTTCCCTGAAGTAAACCATCTCTCCAAATGACAGTTCCAAAGATCACCGCCCCTCACTGTGACACACGCCTACAGTCACCTTGCTGATCTTAAAGAATCAAAATGCTGGAGGAAAGGGACTTAAAGGTCATTTCATCCAAATCCTTTTCCATTCCATGCACTAGAAGGTCTAACACAGACCATACAGTGGTCTTTACAACTATAATCCGTTCCGGAGGTCCGTTTGTAAACCAAAACAGGTTGTAACCCAAGGCGTGCTTTCGCCAATGGGGCCTCCAAAAAAAAATTTGTACAGTGGTACCTTGGGTTGCAAACGCTTCGGGTTACAAACTCCACTAACCCGGAAGTAGTACCTCAGGTTGAGAACTTTGCCCCAGGATGGGAACGGAAATTGCGTGCCGGCAGTGTGGCAACAATGAAAGGCCCCATTAGTGAAAGCGCACCTCAGGTTAAGAATGGTTTTGGGTTAAGAATGGTTTTAGGTCCAGGGTGCCTTAGGGAACCACCTGAACCCTTATATCCCAGCTTGATCAATGAGATAATCTATACAGGAATGTCGTTGGTCATCCCCCAAGTTGGAAAGCCCATTTCTCAGCAACAAGAAACAGCCTTTAGTTTCATCGGTTCAGTCCTGTGAAACAGAGGTCCAAGTAGGCACCTTATGTTCCAACCTTCAAATGCCTATTGAAAACCTTTCTATTCCTCCATGCTTATTCTCTATACTTAGATAATATTCTTAGTGAGAAAATATCCTTCTGTAACAGTTGATCTCTGGGTTTTTAAATATATACATATATGGTTTTTACTGCATGGTTTTTTGTTTGACTGTTGTAAACCACTTGGGTTTTTAATGAATAGAATGTTTTTAAAAAAATAAATAAGCAAGCCATGTCGGTGTGAAGTGTGGCTGGTTTTCAGCCCAGAGGCAAATTCTGTTTCTCATTCAAATGCATGCAAGTTGCCTCTGGACTCAAAACCAGCCACACTTTACCCAGACACAGCATAAAGTATAGCATATAAATCTCACCTGATTGCAAACGCTGTGAGCTTTTGGGAACCTTTGACAGATGTGCACCTCAGATTTGGGTCTGGCTGTTCTTTTGTTAGAAAGGTTCCATATGCAACATTTCCCCTTCCCTACATTTACCATCGGGTGACACAGAGCTGGAAGGGCTCAAATAGAGTTCTCACCTGGGGTAGACAATGCTTGGCACCAGCCCTAGTGCAGTTATAATGTGGGGAGGGAGGGAGTTACGAGAACACTTCCCTTCTTGCATTGAAGTGCGTAACTCTTTTACATTTGAGCAACTGACCCATGTTCCTATCAAGCCTGCAGCCTTTAAAAATAGCAAACTTTGCTGCAGAACAAACTACTTGAAACAAAAGGGTAGGGAACTTCAATGGCAAGTGCGTTCATTTTGCAGCAGCGCCTATGACTGGGAAACTAAAGTGAAAGGGGGAGGCTGCCTGGGTTTGTTGCCCTTGCATTAATTAAGACTTCCTCCAGAGGATCAGGACATGTCCTGCCTGACCTGGTAATGGAGGAACAATAGCTGGCTCAGTGGGATTTGCCCACTAGAGTCACAATGGGCAGCAGCAGTGGCTTCAACTGGGGTGCTCATGAGGCTAGCATGCCATCCACGCTCAAAATGCAAGGTAAATTCTCATCAGCACCAGCTAAAACTGGCACAGTGCTAAACTTTGTTCCTATCCAAGCTCTTATGCAACCAACCAACCAACCATCCATCCACAGCAGGCTGATAATTGATTACTCACAGGAGAAGAAGGAGCAAAAAGAAAGTTGTGCTCTTGCCAGTGCCAACCAGGAGCTGTGGTGCCCAGCACTGGATTCCCCTGGCACTAGGGAAGCACATCTTGCCAAATGTGTTTAGGCAAAGGAGCTTCTCAGCTTTTTAAAGATCCAGTTATCTGTGCTCAGGCAGAGCCTTTCAGTTCCTTATCTGCCCCCCACACCCCACATGCAAAAAGGAGGCTTAAAGGAAGGCCACAGACTAAGCAAAGCCGCCTCATCGATGAACCCTTAGCTGATGAGAGAACAGGAAAGCAGTTAAGCCTGTTCCTGTCCAGGAGATGAGAGAGCGGGGCCATGTCTGGCTCCATCTGGAGTTTTGCGCAGACCACGTGCATGTTTCAGCTTGCACTAAAATAGCTGCCAGACTTGGAGGAAAACAAACTTCACTTAAAGGGGAAAGTGGCAGCATTTTCCACAAACAAACGAAGGGTGTAAGATGAACATCACACAGATTCTTTTGGTTAACAGACCCCAAAGGACACCAAGCAGATAACCGGTGGGCGGGGGGTGGGTGGGGGGGAGGCATTCTATTTCTGGACGGATGCAAGGCAATAAAAAACACTGTTCACCACTGAGGAAGGAGGGAGGAGATAATGAGCCCTCCCTTCACAAAGTGAGCACAGTGCCAACAGCAACGTCTTGCATCTTTCTTAAATGCTATTGTTTCATTTCACAGCTGACCTGTTTATCTCAGAAGACGCTCTCTCCCAGGTACCCAAATCTCAGCCCTCCACATTTATTGATTTCACCAAATTTATGTAGCACTTGATTGTAATAAAAACTCTAAAAACAGTTTGCAAGAAATATGAAAACTGTCAATAAATACAGCTAGAAACAAATAATCCAAAACATTCAAGAAATTGTTAAAAAGCAACAGTAGCTAAAAAGAAATAAAACGTATATAACTTCTGCATGTCTGGATAGATTTGCCTAAACAACAATGAACTATGCAAATATAGAAGATCGTAGCCTGTTAACTCTTACTCAGAGTAGACCCGCTGAAATTAATAAACCTGTATTAGTCCTGTTTATTAACTTCAGTGGGTATCCCCTGAGTAGGACTAACACTATCACCCAGTGTAAAAAGGTAAAGGTAAAGGTACCCCTGCCCGTACGGGCCAGTCTTGTCAGACTCTAGGGTTGTGCGCTCATCTCACTTAAGAGGCCGGGAGCCAGCGCCGTCCGCAGACACTTCTGGGTCGCGTGGCCAGCGTGACATCGCTGCTCTGGCGAGCCTGCACCAGCGCAGCACACGGAAACGCCATTTACCTTCCCGCTATAAAGCGGTACCTATTTATCTACTTGCACTTTAAGGGTGCTTTCGAACTGCTAGGTGGGCAGGAGCTGGGACCGAAAGATGGGAGCTCACCCCGCCGCGGGGATTCGAACCGCCGACCATACGATCGGCAAGTCCTAGGCACTGTGGTTTTACCCACAGCGCCACCCGCGTCCCACTATCACCCAGTGTAGTCAGATGCTAATGGTGTTTGTTATGGAAACCCAAAAGTTCTGGGTTTTGTTCCTGTTAATCTCCTAATGTGAAGTCCTATCCCTCCCCCGCTGCTGTACTATTTCTTTGTATTCTCCATTGGGAGGAAGGGAGACGTCACCATCCTCCCTCCACAGATGAAGGTCAACATCCTGAGAAACAAACTAACTTACTGGTTATCACCCAAACATCTGTCAGAACAGAGAAGTGCCTCCCAAGGCCAGGGGCTTGTTTGAGTGTTTAAAATTCCTCAATGGAAAACCTCAGAATTTGTGGGCAGAAAACAGACTGAAACATATTACAGAATTTCCACTAGACAATTCTTCAATGCGTCTGCATGTGTAGAGGCATAGATTTGCATAGCATGATTGCACAAGGGCCAAGATGTCAGGTGGGACTCCTGGATGATACTGTGGCTGCGTACACACCATATATTTAAAGAACATTCTCCACCCACTCAAAAACAAAAGAACCCTGGAAAGTGTACTTTACCCCCCGACAGAACTACAATTCCCAGCACCCTTAACAAACTACCATTCCCAGGACTCCCTGGGTTGGGTTGGAATAAGCAACAAAGCATTCTGAGTGGGCAGGGCTAGGCTGGCGCCATCTAGAAACAGACTGCACAGGAGCTCAGCTGTCAGGGAACCATTCTGAAAGATTGTCATGATATTTCAGGGGAGGACAAGTAGCTGATCTGTGGATTTCAAAATAGCCTTTTACTGGTCAGCAAAGCACTCCACAGTTTTCACTTCTGGGGCAACAGGATAGGCCAGTTCCTGCAGACCCAGCGCTTATGGATGCACATCAAAGCCCCATTACTTTCAGCAGGCTCATCAAGCTTTCTCTGGGTTGCAGCCCTTGTTCTTTCACTGCCCAGTCTGCTCATTTGGGCAAATGGTCTCTTTACAATTTTGCCTTTGCAGAAACCAAGCTTTTGCTTGCTGCCGCACCTGTCCCTGCTGCCCCCTGATTCTTAACTCCTTATCTCTGTCATCCATCTGAGACAGATTGCATGCTTGAACTCTGTGCCCCAGCTCCAGTCTGCCCCCTGTGCTCACTGCCCGTGTTGATGGATGTCCTTGTTGCAGACACAAGAGACTGAATGCTGCTCTACACCCAGACAGGCCTCCCAACCTAGCAAGTCAGGATGAGATGCTCTCTGCCGTGGGGGGGGGGGGCAAACTCAACCATTGAGAATTGCACAGCATCCGTGCCATTTAGGGTGAGGCAGAGGGGAGTTTGGCTGCGGCTTCCAACCCTTGCAATTTTCAAGTGTAGCAGAGAAAATTGCTAACCTCAAGTGTGGGAGGCTGTCCTTTGCTCCAGGGTCATGGGGAACTGACCAAGCTGCAAAGATAAGGCGCCAGCTCAAAATTCTTCCCTTCCTAGCAGAGACAAAAAAACAACAACAAGGGCTCAAGTAAGGAGCGTTGCCAAGCATGCTACTAGCCCGGGCGGGTGGAGGGTGGGAGAGAATGGGACTTCTCACGAGCACAGCCGCCCACCACTCCCAGAATCCCCTGGGGCAGAGTAACAGCAACAAGAACACATGAAATGTCCCGTTGCACCATAAACGAGAGCTTGCAAATCTATGTTGCTCATGGCACATGTTGAGCAAGATTTAGAATTCAAAGGGAAGAGGCCCTTGCCCACTGGGCCCCCCACCCCCTTCCCACACATAAGGGAATCATTAGTTCCAGCAGACTACTTTCCCCAGACACAGTAACCTAAGAGGTAGGCTCCAGTGACACAGCTGATATGTTGCCGAGTGTGACAGAACACGGTGACTAACCATCAAACCGCCTAATGCAAAGGCATTCCATAGGAAGCAACAGAAACTGATTTAACAGGAAGTGCAGTGAGGGCAGTCCCCAAGGCCAGGGGGAAAATGAGTTGCGCCTTGTGGCTGTTCTTTTGCATGTAGATCAGGCACATGGCCGCTCACACCAGGTACATGGGCCCCACCCCAAGCAGGATGGATCCTGGAACAAGGGATCAACCTTTCTCTGCTGTGCCATTCCACGGAACAGCTCCTGTTAATTCCTCCCTTGAAATCAAGCCCTCTTGTTTGTTTGTTTGTTTGGTCAGTTATCTTTCTACGGAGCCATCTGTGCAGCCTGCGTCCCACCAAGAGGTGTGGCCACCTCCCGATTGCCATCTATTCAAATTGGGGAGGAAACCACAATTAACCTGATCCACGAGTTATTCTGTTTGCAGAAACTCTATTGACATGCAGGGCCCACCCACACAAAGAGGCCTCTGGCACCTGGAGAGCAGCTTGCAAGGCACCTCCAGCAAATCCATAAAACTATAGTATTGCTAGATCTCCGTTCAAAATAGGGTGACAAATTGGTATCCTAAATGGCTTACACCAAGCGATTATTCTTCCAGGTCACTAAAGCACCTTAAGAACTATCAGATTCCTTTTGCTCCACCACGATCACTGAGATCATCTAACGGGGCACTTCTGGTGGTTCCCCATATCCTTGAGGTTCAGTTGGCCTTCACTAGGATTCGAGCCTTTTACTTGAATCCTAGTGTGGCATGCACTTCCCTGTGGAACTCCCTGGCAATAGAAGTTGGGCAGGAACCATCTCTCTCTTCAGACACTTTTTGAAAACTTTTTTGTTTAGGCAGGCTTCTAACAACATGAATCCCCCTCCCCTCTCCTTTTAACCAACCAGTATTTATTAATGTTTTATGGGTGTTTTAATTATGGATATTTTTGTTGATTTCATTATTATATACAGTATTGTATTCTGCCTTGCTGTGTTTTTACTACAGATTATAAATTTGTAACACAATCGCATGAACATTAGTGAGCACTCCCTTTGAGTCAAACAGCCCGATCGTGCTGTGTTTGTGGACTCATGTAAGTACATATTGCTACCATAATCAAGTCTGCCTTTATTTCAGGCCTCTTGGCCCAAGGACAGCAGGAGGAATCAATCAGAAAGCGAAGGAAACTGAAATGATTCTCATTCTCATTTATTTACACCAGGGGTAGCGAACCCCAGGCTAGGGTTTTTTGCCTGGCCAGAATGCATCACTTGCTTGCCTGGATGCAGAACAGAGAAAAATGTGTGGCTGTGTGTTCAGGACTACTGAACAAAAGTTAAACTGGCATTTGTTGCTCTGCCCATTTTTGCTCCTGGGCCTTCTCACCAGTGACACAAGGCCACCAGGAGGCTGCCCAGAAGAGAAAGTGGCTTTTGGGCTGGAAAAAGTTCCCTGCCCCTAATTTGCACCATTTTCAGATGCAGTATTGATGAGCACTTGAGCTGCCATGTAAACTGGAACACAGCGCTCAAAGGAAAGGGAAAATCCCATTTCACATCACCTTTCATTTCTACCAAAAATTCCTCCCTGCAGCTTGGAATCTTAGCCATTTAGAACAACTATCAAAAGAAATTATGGCTGTTCCTGCCTTGCATGAAACAAAGGAACACAGAGAGCTGCTTTACATTGAGTCAGACCATTAGTTCATCTGGTTCAGCATTGTCTACACTGACGTCAGGGACTGAACCCTGGAACCTTTTGCATGAAAAGTACATGCTTGCTACCACTGACCTATGACCTTTCCCCTTCATTCACCCCCTCTATAAAAGTGCATTGTGACTGAAAAAATTGCATGATCCACTACTGAAAATTGTGCAAGAAGCTCTTTTATTCCACATCAAATTTTATGATTGGGAGGTCTTTAGTACTCAGGTTCAGAGTCATTTTATAAGCAAAATTATCAGTAACAAGGTACAAACTTTCTCCCTATTGCCATTTCAGTTGTACACCCATTTATCTAGATATCAAACACAATTCTTCTGGTAGTGTCTTTTAGCAGAAGCTAAAAGACCCTGATGTTGGGAAAGATGGAGGGCACAAGGAGAAGGGGACGACAGAGGATGAGATGGTTGGACAGTGTTCTTGAAGCTATGAACATGAGTTTGACCAAACTGCGGGAGGCAGTGGAAGACAGGAGTGCCTGGCGTGCTCTGGTCCATGGGGTCACGAAGAGTCGGACACGACTAAACGACTAAACAACAACAACAAACCTGGCTACTTCATAATTCATAAATTCATAAATAAGTGAAACTGTACAGATTCAGTATTCATTAAGAAAACAAAATCTGCAACCCAAGCTTGCAGTTCCAGGACGAGGAAGCATATGTGAAACCCTGAGATTGGTACAAATAAGGTGAAATGGCAAAACGGAAATGAAGAGGAAAGCAGGAGCATACAAAGTGGGGGGCAGAGGTGGTGGCCCCTGCCTCCCCCCAGCTGTAGAGCGGCTGAGGGTGCACACAGCCCATATGGGCTGCCGCTCATGCGCAGTCCGTACTGGATGCCATACATGCGCGGTCCGTACGGGATGCTTCTCGCACAGTAGCCTGTACACCTCCATATATGCCACACACGCGAGCAGCAGCCCCTGCGCATGTGTGGCAGCCCGTACGGTCATTGCACATGCACACTCCATACGGGATGCCCCGCCCCAGGTGCCAGAGAAGGTTCCTCCACCACTGGACAGCAGTACTAGGCAATCTGACTAGTTTGGAGTGAGACTCAATGAACTCATTTGAGACTTTCTTCCTAGTACAAAGATCCATACTTGTAAATGAAATGCCATACAGCACTTTCCTGGGCGCATCCAAATTCATGCCGATAATGTTTTAATTTGCTGATGCTTTAAGTTGTTGGAAGCTGCCCAGAGTGGCTGGGGCAACCCGGTTAGGTGCACAACATATAAATAAGATGTTGTTGATGTTCTTGTTATGCATGTTTATTCAAAAGTAAATCCTGCTGTATTTAATGGGGCTGTAACCTCTTGCACACCTACTCACAAGTGAATCCTCCTGAAATCAGACTTACTTCCATGTAAATATGAGACTTGCTTCCATGCACATTATATCCTGCATATTCTTTCAGTCATTTTCCAGTCCTGAATAATATGATTGCCAGATGGAACCCAGAAGCTTTACATTAGTGTGGCGAGCATGTGACCCTTCAGCTGCTGCTGGACTCCAATTCCCATTAGCCCCACCCAATATGGCCAATGGGTAGGGATGATGGAAACTGTAGTATAACATGAAATGGAGGGCCACAGGTTTGCCAGACCCTCCAAGTGTCTCTATTTTCCAGAGATAGTCCTGGACTTACAGAAGCCGTTCCACTTTCTGATTTGATCCCAGAATGCTCCACTTTTCCTTAGGATGTCCCTATTTTCATCGGTGAAATGTTGGAGGGTATGGAGTTATGCAACCCACGTGCCAAAGAGATAAGTAACTATGCAACCTTTGGAAGACATCTGAAGGCAGCCCTGCATGGGGAAGTTTTTAAATGCACCTAATTTTACCACAAAAAACTGGGAAAACTTATTGACTAAAGTATAAGCTGGTTCACCACACCACACACTTCCTGGTGGGCCAGAGTGTGTGTGTGTGCACAGAGGGGGCTTCTCTCTCCCCCCCCAGCCCCTCCCGCCCCCCTGTCTACCTAGGGTGCTGCCGAGAGGGAGAGGCTGGTGGCAGCGGCAGAGGAAGAACAAGCAGCCCAGACGGGCTGCTTTGGGGCTGCTCCTACCTCCTCCTCTGCCGCCAACAGCGGCAAAGGCGGCGGAGGAGGAAGGAGCAGCCCGAAAGGACCCTCACTCAAGCCGAGGGGGGCTTTTTCAGCATTAAAAATGTGCTGAAAAGGTCGGCTTATACTTGAGTATATACAGTATATGTTGGAAGCCACCCAGAGTGGCTTGGGCAACCCAGTCAGATATGCGGGGTTTAAATTATTATTATTATTATTATTATTATTATTATTATTATTATTGAATAGGATGTCCCTGTTTTTATCAGAGAAATGTTTGCAGGCTTCATTCGAAATCAGAGGGCAGCTACAGTCTTGTGAAGAGAGGCGAGGTCTCACCAAGCTGCAGGTGTTAATTTTGCGTTTCAGAATATAGAGATTAAACAAAGCAAGCAAAGAACTTTGTAAGTACTTTCGGTAATCACACCCAAAGGGATGCAAAAGGAAAGCCCCAGAACTTGTTTCAAAATCAGAGCTCAATCCTCAAATGTGTGAAGTAGTAACAATAAAGGGAGTGCCTTTCTGCAGTTTCCAAGCTCCTTTCCCTTCAGATGGAGAAACTGCAACCAGCTATGGACCCATGTAAAGAGTTTCCAGAGCAAAGACTATTGTGTTTCAAGGATGGAAATTAAGCACTTAAGTGATGAAAAAACACAAACATGACTAATAACAGATTTCTCGGCTATTTGATGAGGGAGGATGTCCATCAGTCCATGCATGCACCACAGTTTTGTGGGGTGACACAACAGAGAATGAGTTTCCATGAGGCCAAGCAGCCTGGGTCTGACTGTCATGTGAAAGATCTAAAGAACCAAAAAAAAAAAATCTACTATAAACATGGCCATTTCCTAAGACCCTGGTGCCTCTTTCTGCCCACTTCCCATCTGAGGAGGCATTAGACCTGCCCTTGTTGAGTGCAAGACATGTGACAAGCCTTTCATGCACAGATAAATTATAATACTATTACTACGCAGGGCAATAACACATGGCAAAGACAGCCCCAAGGCTGTCCGTATCTGCAAATGCTCCGAATACAGATTAATGTCAATTTCACTGCATTTATCATCACTGCTCCGAGCTGCCTTGAGCAGGAACTGCAAGCCCAAGATTGGAAGGTCATCTGGTTTAATGAGTGCTTTTGTGTCAGTCTCTTAGTAGCCTTCACAAAAAGGGGAAAGGGTGGGGAGGGCCCTTTTGTAACTTGCTACATAATTAACTCCCCCCTCTGGAAGTCAAAGCAGGCAACCCAGTTCTTTTCTCTCTCTTGCCACAAAGACAACCAGTGTCAGAAAAGTTTTGCCAAGTTAAGTGGGCAGGCTAAGCTATCCTCTGTTGGCACCAGAGGAGAACAGAAATTAAAGGGAAAGGCCTTAGGACTGCAGTAGCATAGCAACCAGGTGCAGTGACAAGAATGGGGCGCATTGAGTGCCGTGTGGATGCACAATGAAAACATGGACTACCCAATTTTATGTAGTAAGCTAGTAAATCTTTTCATTCTATATGCAAGACTGAGCCAGAATAAGGTCCAAGTTTCCAAATACACACAGGGTCAGTTTCCCAAAGAGGGTATTGGTGAGCAATATCCTGAGAGATGGTTGTTTTAAATATCTAAGTCATTTGGTGTGGGGGGTTGGGGGGAGGGGGAGTTGCAAATTCTCCAAAAGCTATCATAAGCACAAACCATTCCCTTTCCAAGTGTCAATCCCTCAAAGAATGCAAGGGGTCCAAAGAAGGGGGTGGGAAGATAAATGAGAAAGACAAAAAGGAGGCTGTTCAGAATGTGATTCCTTGGCCATTCCTTGCCAACCAAATCTGCTGCACTTTGATATAGTCATAAGTGTACCAGAGTAACCAAAAGACTAGGGACGCGGGTGGCGCTGTGGGTAAAACCTCAGCGCCTAGGACTTGCCGATCGAAAGGTCGGCGGTTCGAATCCCCATGGCGGGGTGCGCTCCCGTTGCTCGGTCCCAGCGCCTGCCAACCTAGCAGTTCGAAAGCACCCCCAGGTGCAAGTAGATAAATAGGGACCGCTTACCAGCGGGAAGGTAAACAGTGTTCCGTGTGCTGTGCTGGCTCGCCAGATGCAGCTTGTCACGCTGGCCACGTGACCCGGAAGTGTCTGCAGACAGCGCTGGCTCCCGGCCTATAGAGTGAGATGAGCGCACAACCCTAGAGTCTGGCAAGACTGGCCCGAACAGGCAGGGGTACCTTTACCTTTTAACCAAAAGACTGCACATTAAACTAAACTAGCTTGCATTATGGGGAGAAGGAGAGCGGCCTTAAGTGAATCATATAAAGAACAGCACATCATTTCAACCTCCAGCACATCCTAGGAACACAGAAGCCAAATGACAGTAACTCTGTAAATTTTGCTGTGGTATCTGAGGGGACTCTCCTTTCATGTACCTTACCTGCCTCAGGTCTTGAAAGTGAGCTCTGCTCTCCTGTCATCAACTTCCTCCTGAAACAACAGAAAAATTGTGAGGCCAGAAGAGTAAGTGAAAAATCAGTGCAGTTTCTGGCATGTGTAGCAGCTGATGAGTCTCAGTTACAACAACCAACCAGGCTATAGGGTAGGTTCTCAGAAGTTATCAGTCCCCACTCTCCATATTGCTCTGGATTCCTTGTGCAAACGCAAAATTAAGGAACATTGAAGGATAAATACACAGTAGATGGTGTAAGAGGAAAATACAGATCGCCCCTTGCTAAAATCAGCCGAGACCCTCTCTACATGCACAACTCAAGAGCCACAGGGAAAGTTCGTACTTCTCTACTTTTCTATTCTGCAATTCATTGCTGGAGGACTCCCTCATTACAGTGATTTTCACTCTAAATTCCTCTGCCCCACAGTGGAGTTCTCCACCCAAACAGCCAGCTTTGGTGTCCAAGTTACAAACGCAAGCAATTAATTTAACAGCGGCTGAATGGAGTTTGTTTTTTTCCCTCCTCAAATTTATCGTTCGAAGATCAGGGCAGGGACACTCTTCCCTCTAGGCAACATTATGTTTCAAACTGTGCCAGAGAAAAGTGAGCTGCACAGCACCACCTCCCCAGCTCTGTATCCCACACCATATGCCTTGGCAGGCAGAAAGGCAGAAAGACATACCGAACAAACGCAAACCCAGTCAACAACAGCCAGACTTCCGAACCAAAGGACAAACCACCAGAGAAGCTTGTCCATGTAGGAAAATGGCAGATGAGGCTAGCTCACACATCCTGCAAGAGTCAAACCACTAGCGGTTTCAAGTTGATTCCTGCTGCCTGCCCTTCTCACTATCATTCCAACTCCCCAAAAAAATCCTGGCCAGCGTCACAGCCAAACAGTCTTACCAGCTAATCAGAGAACAGGAGGGGAGGGACGCCTGTCGCTTCACATTTCTTTCATGCTAACAACTAGGTTCGTGTGTGCATGTTCCCACATGTGCAGTGCATATCACGTTCCTCTGTTTCCGTGCAGTTCATTTCTTGTAGTCTTTACCAGCTCCAAGACATAACCTTAAAGCAAATGCACATGGAGCCACCAAATTTAGGATCAGGACTAGAAAGCAGCAATTTGTACAGCCTCTCTTCTTTCCTGCGCCTGGCACAGGAGAGCGCAAAAACTCCTGGATTCGTGCCAGAGGAAGGCCCATGAGATTTTCCTCTTTCCAGCGGGCACAATGAGCAAATCACACACAGCTTACAAGCCCCCAATACTCTCTTCCCTCCCTCCGTCCCTCCTTCCCACCCCATTCTCCAGCCTTAGAAGTCGGAGCATCATGTTACAGACCCTTTCATGCTCCAAACACAAAGCAGAGACCGGCTCATTATGTAGCGCTCAACTAACTACTCATGGAGCAGCTGCTGTCAGCCTGCTGGTACGTGGTCCAATCCACAAGCTCTGAAGAACAATGTCACGTGACCATCAAAATCCTTGCATATGCTTATTAACAAATGTGACCCAGAAAAAAAAGTACCATTTTACCAATCTCTTTTCCCCCAAGGTTGTGAAATGGATAAGGTCATGTTATGTTCAGAAGAAAGGAGAGGGACACATTTATCCCACTGCTGCCCCCAATTCAAAAGATCATTGCAGGCAAAAGAAATGCCACCAAAGAAAACATAGTGGCTTTTCAATTTTGTGGTTTTTTAAAAAAAACTTGCCATCAGTTCTACATTAGAAGAGAAAAATTTCCAAAAGGGTCAGAGCAAAGCTAAATATGTTCTCTACCCATGAGGAGCTCACATAAGAGTTTCTTCCTTTGATTTGTAAAGTGTCATTCCTATGTTGGGGCTTGTGTTAACAGAATGTATGTGCAGGGCAAGAAAGCTGAGGAGCGCTGAGGAGTGCTATTTAGGGGCCTCGGAATCTGCACAGGAGGTGTAGAATATGATGCATATGGAAACAGTCACACTAAGGGTCTAGCAGTTCAATGCAAAGCTAAGGGATTGGGCTGAGCTAATGCTGATGGGCTAGGACAGAGGTGGGGAACATACGGCCCTCCGGATGTTGTCTCCAACTCTCATCAGCACCAACTATCTCCTCTAAGGTTGCAATCCTTTGCACACTGACCTTGGGGAATAAGTAAACACCCACCAAACTCAGCAAAACTTAATGCTGAGAAAGGGTACGTGGGAACCCTGTTAGAGTGCAGAAATTATAATGAATTTAGTGAGAAAAAATCTAGCTCAATTTGACAGAAGGGGAATCTGGGGGTCAAAGATATAGCACAGCCTTGGAAATAAGCCCACAAAAGTTACCAGCTTCAGTTTCCATGCTGGCTGTAGAGGAAAGGAAGCCCCCACCCTCTGCTGCCAGCATGCAGATACAGGTTCCTTAGACTCTTCAAGTAGGCTACTGAGTGAACGGGCAAAGGAAGAACAGATTTTTTCCATATCCGCCTCTTCTCCACCAGCCTGCTTGGTTTGCATGCTTCTCAGGGAGGAAGGGGCTTTCCTTCCTCTGTGGTTAGCACAGAACTCAAGTGGTGGAGGGAGGCGAAGGACCCACCCCTCATCCACCACCCCACCCATTTGCCTGCAAGTAATTCTTAGTTACCTGCGGCAAGTTGTTCAATGGAGTTTCAGCGATGGCTGGCCCATTTTAGTGACTGGAACACTGCCCCACCAACCTCAATCTGACCATAGCTGTCAACCTTCCCTTTTTTTGCGGGAAATTCCCTTATTCCAGCGCCGTTTTCCGCTGCTATCCCGGATTGTTAGATATCCCGTAAACTGACCCCAGGACAGGTAGGCTGCTGATCCCTTATTTTCAAGGCTGCTGATCCCTTATTTTCAAATCTGAAAGTTGGCAGCTATGGATCTAACATCAGCCAGGCAGCCCACCCAGCCTTGCCTTCCAGCCTTTCTCAACCTATGGGTCCCCAGATGTTGATGAACTACAACTCCCATCACCCCTAGCTAGCATGGTGGGAGTTGTAGTCCAACAACATCTGGGGACCCACAGGTTGAGAACCGCCACGAGCTGGCGTTGCCTGTCAGCTTCCTCCACCTTATGTCTCAGTGTTGCCCTTGTAACAGGAGTGCCAGCTTGGCCCCACGGCCGTGGGTACCCAGGGCTGTGGCTGCCATGCAGCGTGAATGGCCCTGGCACCAAAATTTGTGGGTGCCCGGCCCCTTCATGGGGAATTTTGGGGCCCCAGGGAGTTGCACCTATGCCTTGTAAGGAGGGCGAGGAGGAGGAAGGGGGCAAAACTCGAATTAGTTGGCTCTGGCTCCATCAGCTGTTGGGCTCCCTGCTCTCTGCCCTAGCAGCTCCAATGGGCACAAACCACACTGTGCAGAGAGTACATAAGGTGAAGCAATTCAAGCAAATTTAGCTATAACCTGGGGAATGCCCAAGAGGCACAGCCTGCAGCACAACCCTGAAATAACCATCCAAACCAGCTAGGCAGGAGTACTTAGGCTTAAACCATCTGCTCTGCATCCTGGGCTGAAAGATAATACCAAACAGGAGAGGAGAGTTTGCCCAGGGAGGGAGGGGCTAACAGGCAGTTGCCACTCCAGATACCAAAGTCTCTGCTCCTGTCCAAATAAGCTAGAATGTCCAAGGGTAGATGTGGCCAGGGATGGGAGGAGGGAGGGAAGGCGTGCGAATACTTTTAGCCGCAGTTTTCAATATATCTGATTGCGATGGAGCCAGCTTTCCCCATGTGGCTGTGAAATGGAAACTCTATATTCCGAAAGGGAAAAGGAAGGCTGCCAGGCCAAGCTGGGCACTGCATATATCGGAAAGAAGCTTCGGGGAAAGTTTGCACTGGAGGTGAGACAGGGAAAGAAAGCCACCGAAACCTCTCTGGTCCCTGCCGACTCCTGAGCCTGGAATGTACACTGTTGAAACAGTCCCTCCCTCAGCATGCCAGAGACTTCTACAGAGAGCCACCCTCTCAGCCCCAGAGCCCATCTCAGCCAAACCCCTTGAAGCCCCAGAACCTTGGACCCATTATCTGGGAAAAGGCAGGATATAAGCTTTTAAAATCAATCAATCAAACAAATCCCCCTTCAGTAATCAAATCCTCTCTTCCACAAATGCTAGTTCTGGAGTGGGGAGCCTGTACCCTTCCAGTTGTTGTTGCGACTATGACTCCCATCATTCCTGACCATTGACTACGCTGTCCGGGATCAATGAGTCGGAGTCCTGCACAACAACATCTGGCGGGCCCTAGGCTCCCCTCAGCATCAGCTCCTTCCGTCCCTGGAAGAGTCACTTTTGCCTTTTCAGCCACTGCCCCACACTTTGACCCAGCACAACACCTCAGTACCACCGGATCTCCCAGTCCCCTGCTCCACTCCACCCAAGATCTGTCCCCCCAAAGACCCTCCAACAACCCATTGCCCATATTCCACTTCTGGGCAGCGGTTACATAGCCCACCACCAGCCTCGTAGCACATTTTCCCCATACATGATACCCCACACTCCTTACACAGATTCTCAGCCCCCTAAAAATATCACACTCCAACTCTTCTGCCCCACACATACAAACCATCAACACAGCAGCGTATTTATTTTAAGCTTAGTTTAAAAACATGTCGAGGGCATCTAGCCCTCAGCAGAGGCTTGCCTTAAGCGCCTGGGGGATCTCTCCCCTGTATCCCCACATTTGCCCTACAACGGCCCCCCTCCCGCCCCTTAATTCATCGCTCTCTCAGTTTTAAAGCGTTTTCCTCCACTGACCTCCACACAGCATCTCGGGTCCACACAGCCAGCCAGCTCTCTCCCCCTCGCCCAGACGAGCGCTAGGACAGCCCGCGGCAGCCTCCAGCTCCCCTCGCCCCCTGGCCAGTCCATGCCCGGCCCCAACGCCAGGCTCCGCCCGCCGCCACCCCCCTAAAGCCCCCCCCCAGACGAACGGACGGCCGAGCTAACGGGCAGTGGGAAGGGGCCGCGCTCGGGAGAGTCCCGACGGGCGGACAGTGTCTGGTCCCAGACGATCACTCGGGGGAGGGGTAAGGAAGGGCGCCTTTAGGGTCGAGGGCAACGTCCCAGCCCTGAAACTGTGGGGTTTTTCAGAGAGACAGCGGGCGATGCCGGCTTGGCTTGGCCAAAGCTATGCCTCTTGCCCTCCCTTCAACTTTTTAAAGTTATCATGAGGTCTGGAGCACTTTTTCTGGTCTTGTTTCCGGGATGGGTGTTGTGTCGTTGTTTCCCATACTACGTTTCTCTGTTATGCCCTTTTAACTTCTGAGATTACAAGGGAAGAGCCAAAAAGCTGACCACCTGACCCAGGGGCGCCGACTTATAAAAAATATTGGGGGGGCCCATACCGGGGTCCTGCCCCGGGAAGTTTTCTAAGTTCCAATGTCAGCGGCGCCCAGCAGAGCAGCCCTCTCGGCCACGGCAGCCTGGCTCTCCCAGCCCCCGGGGGCCGCCCTCCTCCCTCGTGCACCCGCAGCGTTCCCGCCCGGGGAGGCGGCGCCCCCAAGGACTCAGGTTCGGTTGTACCTGAGAAGCCGAGCACCTTGGCTCCCAAACAAATCGGCTTCTGAACAATCGAAACCCGGAAGTGAGTGTTCTGGTTTTCAAATGATTTTTGGAGGGCGAACATCCGGTGCGGCTTCCGATTGGCTGCAGGGGGCTCCTCTGGCAGAAGCCGCACTCTGGTTTTCAAATGGTTCCAGGAGTCCAATGGACTCCCGGAACGCATTCTGTTCGAGAACCAAGGTACAGTGGACGCTCGGGTTGCGAACGTGATCCATGTGGGAGGCACGTTCGCAACCCGCAGTGTTCGCAACTCACATTGCTGCGTCTGCGCACACACAGGTTGTGATTTAGCGCTTCTGCTCATATACAAGTGCCGAAACCTGGAAGTAACCCATTCCGGTACTTCTGGGTTTCAGTGCATCCATAACCTGAAAATGCTTAAGCTGAAGCATCTGTAACCCGAGGTATGACTGTATGTACCAGTCCTAAGGAACTGGCCAAGTAAGGCAATCAGCATCTGCAGGTCCCTTGACAGACAGGAGAGAAGCCACACTCTTGGATTTCTGTTGGTAGATGCCTCTTCCTGAGATGCTTGTATTATGCTAATCATAGAATCATAGAGACAGAAGGGACCCCAAGGTCATCTAGTCCAGCCCCCTGCAATGCAGGAATCTTAGCTCAAGCAT